GCTTGCACCCCTGTCTCCAAACAGTCCCACACCATTGTTATTAGACTCTCCTGTCTACAATAGGGTGCCGAATGGTAACCGTCAGCATTACCGACCTGACTTTGTCCATGACTCACGGCAAACTGTAGGCTTCCTTATAAAAATGCACATGGTGTGCTGAATTACCAAGCAATTATAAATTGAATGCTGAAATATAAAATTGATGTCAAACAGCTGTGGTGTTACAGCTTTGGTTCGCTCTTTGTCTATATGATAATTTCATCTCTTGCTCATAACGTACCTTTATGTCATCTCTTTATCGTTTGCAGTGTGCATTGCAGAATCAATGTGATACAGACCTTTCTCGGCAGGGAAAGGTAGGATGCCGTTGTACTGGCGTGTCTTCAGAAGGGATTAACTGCTGTGTCTGGGCTCTTTCAGATTTCTACTCCAAGACAGGAAGAGGATTAAAAAGGAAACATTTTTGTGCATGTGTCTTTGAAAAATGCGGTAATGTCCTTTATTATAGTATACATGACTGTTACTACCTGGGATATTGTTAGAATATGTAGCACATAGCAATCCGCTTTGTAGATAACTCTACGTGTTTGTTTACTGTTTTTTTTTCACTATAGTTATGCAGGACAAGAAAGAGCAAATTATCTCAAAGTTTATTTCTCAAAAAACAGTGACTCTTTCTAGAAATGTGCTATCCTCATATTTGCATAACAATGGTAACTTTTTTGGCACTTCTCCAACTCTTTGAATGCACTCTTCCTAAGTCCTCTGCATAACAGAAAACTAGAATGAACAAGCTGCATGCAATGTCATCATAGTGCAGTACACTGCTGCCCTCTTCACTCCATAGACTGCAATTGTTTTCATCAGCCCTTCCCCCTTCTTTTCCTACTGAATGTGCCTCAAGCCTTGTGAGATGCAAATTAATAATATAGAAGGGTGGAGAGTTGTATAAACACTAACAAATAGCACAAGTTAACGAAACTCACAACTTGGGTTACAGTGGTAGCCAGTAAATAAAATAGAAACCCTTGGTAAGGGAAATGCTCTTTTAATATGTGGAATGTAGGATTCACTGTGTTACACCTTCTAACATATAAGGGTCTATTTATAAACAATTTGCCATTCGCCCTGTGAATCTCCATTGTGTGCAAATAAAGGCAAGAATAAACATTCTTACAGGGTTATTCACATAGCTGTCGAAGGCAGCAGAGGGAATAACCGAGCCGAAGTGAGCCAAACGACGGCTATTCACTCCGGCTGATTTCCGTACATCGACATCGTACATCGGCTGCCTTCTGTCAGCCGAACATGCTCTGCCGAAGTGCAGAGGGACTTCGACTCAGCCGATCCAACATCTAGAGCGGCTGAACTGAAGCTCCGGCAGCGCAGTCGCTGTGTCCCTCCATCCTCATAGGAGCTGAACGGCACTAAGTGACTATCCGAATGCCACTGAGCGTTGACAGCTAGCTCCGCCCAACTGTTTCCTATTGGCCGGCACCTGCCAGAGTCCTGGCCAATGAACAACTGGGCTGAGCCGGCCGTGACTTCACAGCCGGCTCCGCCCAGTTATTGTTTAATGACATCAGCATCCCAAAGGTCATTTGCGGACGCTAATCTGTCATTACAACTGGGCGGAGCGAGCCGTGAGATCACAGATGGCTCTGCCCAGCTGTCATTTGCGTGGAGAAAGGAAGGCCCTTCGGGTGACCTTTCTCCAAACTTCGGAGGTCACTTCGACTCAGTCGACGGAAGCATATGCCTTGGCTGCCTTGAGCTAGTGAATAGCACGTATAGCAGCCCATCGGTTCTACTGTCTACTGAACCGAAGGGCTCAGACGGCTGAAGTGAGCCAAAGGATATCCTTCTGCTCCATAGTGAATAACCCTCTTAGTATATTTTCTTTTACGTCAAATGGAATGTAATACTGCATTATGGCCAGTAGATGGAGCAGAGGAAATTCTTCCAATGCTCAACGACAATATGGCCACTAGATGGAGCTGAGGAGCATAGGAAATATATTTAAATAGCTCCTAATCGCCATCTAGTGGCCATAATGAGGCATTACATTATATTTGACATGGGACAAAAATATACCAAGGTTGTCTGTGAAGGTTCTTATTCATCCATGTCATGGTATATCTGTAAAAAATAAGTCAACTGGACTTGCTGTATTTTTCTTGAAGACGTTTCACTGGTCATCCAATCAGCTTTCTCAATATTTTTTACAGATATACCAAGGTTGTTTTTACCTCGATTTTTGGTCCCTTGTGATGTGTTGAGCATCCCATCAAATTAACAGGCAGTGTTAACGCAATGTACGGTAATGTGTGTGCACTTTAAACGCAGCACAATAGAACTTCCTGGTATGAATGGGCCCTTAGGGTGGGGGGCTACACTGGCAATTAAGTTGCATTGCAGGATCATGCAAGTTGATTGATACAACATGCTACTTGTGTAGCTAACTGATTTGGGAGCCATTTGCCCCACCTGTTTAGCAAGCAATTCCTACACCTAGCAATTATCCGCTAGTGTTTTAAAGCTGAACTCCAGCTTTAACTTCAGTATTGCAGTTGTAAAGGCTTCTCTCCTGTACTGAAAATGCTTAGTCTAATGCACACCGTGAGCTTCCTACGGTCTGCATTGGAGGCTGCAAGTCTCAGGAGAGCCCACCTCATTTTCTTACTGGAGAAAATCCAGCATCATCTAGCTCTTTCCTTTCCTCTGCAGCACTACTGTTCTCTGACACATATCTTTCATTCATGGATTTCTTTTCTTTCAATCAAGGAGGCTCAGCATGTGGATGTTACCTGCACATGCAGCATGCCTAGGTACACCCATCTATTAGGGCTACTTGATATTTGCATAACTCCTGCCAAAAACCAGCCCACTGCTTGCATCAGGCCTGAGGCAGGGTGCTGTAAATGGTAAGGAGTGAGGTTCCTGGGCACCTGCCAAGTACTCCTGAATCCCTTAGCCCTCGTTCACACCTGAACGTTTTGTAGCGCGTTCTACGCTCGACGAACGCTCTACAAAACGCTCAAAAATATAAATCCCATTGTATTCAATGGTCTCGTTCCCACCTTGGCGTATTTCTGCCCGTCCCACGCCTGAAAAGGTACAGGTACTAGTTTGGGCCGTTTTGTTGCGCGTTTCCATTGGGATACGGCCAAGTAGCCTTCGGAAACGCGCGACGGTCGCGTGACTTTTTACCGCGAATCGCGGGAAAAAACCGTGCGCCAGACGCGCATATGCAATACGCCTAGGTGTGAATGAGACCTTAAAAGGAGATCTATGAGGCAAGTGATTTCCGCTCACTCATAGTTAGAACCGACCTGTGACAAAGAAGCTGTCACAGGTCGGCTCAATCGATCAGGAAGTGAGCAGAAACATGCACGATCTGCTCACTTCCTGATCATCTCCCTGCCAGACACGGCTCCCCCCTCCTATGCTCGAGCACTGACTGGAGGAACGGACGGGGAGGGGGCGGGCACAGCTGGCTCTGCCTCTAAATAGCACAGCCCGCTGTCACTCAAGCAGCTGGGTGGATCTCGACAGTAATGTCGGGATCAGTCTTGGCTGACGGTCTCAGTATATCGCGGACAATAGCCCGCGATATATACTGAGCTTTGGGTCACGGGAGGAGGTTAGTATATGTCCTCCCGTGCCCTAAAGAGAACTATGGGGAAAAACCCTTACCTCATAGTTCTCTTTTAATGTAAGAAGGAGCACTTTGGAGGAAGCAGATTAAAGAGCAGCTTCCCCATGCATGTGCCCAACAAGTATCCCAATCTGCCAGAATATCAGACTTCAGTAATCACCTGCACAGCAGAATTCAGGAAGGGATTAATAATGCTTCACAGTTGCACCATCAGTCTGTCCTCCTGAACATCTTTTCTGTAACAGGAGAGAGCACAGGAATGGCTTCACCACTGTGCAGATTCTCTAAAGTTGTCCAGTCATAAGCTGGGACATATCCTGGACCAGTATGAATCACTCAACTACAGTGTAGGGTGCAGAGCTCAAATACCTGGCTGTGCTGTCCGGTAGTGGTACCTGGATGAATAACTAGTTGATTAAGATAACCATTTCATTTTTGGCCTATACAGCATACAAATCCTTCATGCGTGTGCGTTTAGTCTTTTGCCTGATCAGCAGCTTTATGCATCCTTTACACTTCGGGGAGAACTAATAAAATTCCAAAACCATGCTGTCCATTTACCAAATGGTTTTATTGCCTTTTTAAGAAAAAGTCTTGTAAAATATAAATACAAAGGCAGGTGGTTTACTTACAAAGTTTAAACACAGATCTCAAAACATTGCACACACATCTCAAGAAATGATTCAGTCTATATACAGGTTTAGCTGGACCGCAACACTTTATAATACAGTCTTAATATTTTACATGAGAAAACAAAAATAGCTCGGGGGGTCTTCTTTTGTTTTAAATTAGAGCATAAAACATTTGAACGTATGTATATATTTATATATGTATAGAGGTGTGTGCACACATATATAGAAATGCATACGCATATATACACACATATATGCACACACTCAATTTAAGTGTGAAAACTAACATTTCAGAGATCTTAAATTAGAATACAAAAATTCAAACAAATCTCTATGGATAATATATATTTAGAATTTTGTTTATATTACAAAACATTGGATCATATCCAACATTGCTTACCAAAAAACAGGTAATTTCTGTAAACATAAAAAAATGTCATGAAGTGCCAACTCCTTCCTACAATTCGTATGTCTTTCGAGTACAAATTATAAAGTATCTTTCGTGCCTTCAGTGCTTTGTAGAAGTCAAAATTATTTATAATAATAATAAAAAAAAAAAATAGATAATATTCAAATAAAGCGTTACAAGTAAAACAAAACTAGTTTTCCCAAAGCAAATGTGCACTGAACCTTTCAGGACCATAGAAATTTATTTAGAGCTTCTGGAAAAAAAAAAAAACAGTCCCAATATAAGCGAATATATAATAATCTTTTTTTTACATTGAATTATATAGAATAGTGTTCTCTCTGTATAGCACATATTCACAAAATAAGCATCCGTTTTATATTACACTGTTAGGTAAGGGCCTGGCTTCTTAACAGCTGGCATAAGACGTGTCTCCTTCAGGATCCAAGCACTCGATGGACGATCCAAGTAATGTTTGCAGTTCACTCATAAATTCCACCAGCTCGAGCAGTTCTTTGCTGTCTGGACTGAAGCCGTCAAGATCGTCTGGAGAGGCAAAGAGCTGGCTTAAAGATACTTGCTTGTAGAATTCTGCTTCGGTAATACGAACTACTTCAAAGTGAGGGTGCTCGCTTCGGAATGATTCCGAGGACGTCTTTAAACGCTTGGCCACATCTGACAGAAGCAACCAATTTCTGGGCCTATAAAAAAAACAGAAGTACAGATATAGTTACTTGCATCACAGTAATCAAATCTAATGACATAAGAGAACCAGTCACAATTAGAGACTTCTGCAGGTATTTGGATATCCAGTTTTTAATACAACTCACTACTTATGAACCGTTAATTGTTAGAGTCTAACATTTCAGTTTGTATCAGGAGTTTACTGTTCCCAATATGCTATGGTCAGACAACCTTTTTCTACATTTACAGAGTCAGAAAACACTAGAAGTCTGACGGGTCTTTTTTTGCCCATTTACAGAGTTATTTACCTGAAGACTGACAAGTGCTGACCCCTCTCTCCATTTAGAGTCAGAAGTCACTTGAAGTCTGACAAACGTTGGCCCTTTTCTCGCCATTTACAGAGAGCCAGGAGTCACCTGAGGCTCAACAGGGCCATCACGTGACCTCTGCCACTCTGGATATAGGGAAAAAAGGCCATCTGATCATAGACTATTGCAAAGAGACCGGTGGGGAGAGACTTGGCAAAGATTCAAGCTGCAGCATTAGCTGATAAGACACAGCTGCCAGATCAGTTGTTTTTGAAGCAGGCAATCTGTCTAGGGTTTTTGTGGCGCCAATATCATGGGTATTTTATACAGCAGCCAAATTAATATTGAGAATAAAATTGTAGCATAGATTAGCTTTGGTGTAAAGGTAACATGTACGTTACAGTCTAGCTATGGTAATATGAGAGTAACGGTGAGGGTTACGTTTGGATTGAGGGAAAGGTGAGAGAGTTCAGTCAGAATTAGATTAAAAGTTAGGATAACATTTCTTAGGTTTCCTGGTGTCCAACACCAAGGCCCTATAGGAAACTACAACTACAGTTTGGAAAAAAAGCACTTCATGTTATTGATTCTGCAACTTTATGTGCCAAAAACTTTTGTGCAAACATATTTGTGAAATTCAGCCATAACCATCTGTAAATAGCAGAAAACCAATGTACTGCATAAAAATGCATCTCCAAACTGTTACTGACACAATCATCTCAGACATAATAAAGCGTGTCGGAGATGTTCCACTAAAAATCTTTTTGTTGCCTGTCCTGCTAACAGAAGAACACGCTATTAATACTGACGGAGAGGACTAAAAGGAATATTATAGTTTTGGAACTCTACATTAAATCTGCAAAAAATAAATCATTTCACGTGCAGGCTGACCCTACTACACTCCACACAAAACGGACATTTGTTGTTGCAGTTCTGGCCAGACAAATTCAAAGATCACCAATCCCCCACTCACATTCACTCTGCATGCATACTGGTGATCTCCCATTCTTCCCTGCTCTAGGTCTGTAAATGGGGTCATGGGCTATGTTTGTTCTTCTCCCAGAAACATTCCGAGGCAAACAAGGTTTATTGACCAGAAATCAGATCTGCGTGTGAGGACTGCAAACAAAAGTGTGGCTCCTAAGGTGGCACCCCACGGTCTTATTTCACCGTCTTCAATGACAGTATGCGACAGTAAATAAGAACAAAAGTGAGTCGAAAAAAACAAGAAGACTGCACACTGAGAAGCCCTTTAGAAAGGCAATTACTAATCAGATTCCAGACAAAAGATGACTAATCTTTGCTGCTGGCAAGATGAGATTTGTCTAAAGAAGCCAATTAAAGTATTTAGTATATTACAAAATGTTTTATAGGGGTTTGAAGACAAACATTACAATACAGTTGGAGAGATCCTGCAAAATAGAACTTTCTGCTAGCAAGCCTAGTAGGATCCACAACTGGCAAATCCTGCTCAATGACCATCCTCTGGCAATTACTCTCAAGTTCCAGCAAGCCATTCAACAAGTCGGGGAGAAATAAGAACAAAAGCATATAAAGCGCGGACTTTCAATTGATTAACCTTTAATTAGCTGAACAAGGCCATCAGACTGCAAAGGAAATTTGTACACACTACAAAATGGAAACGGACAACACACCGTAATTACGGAAGGGTGTGAAAGCGAATAGACCTTAATCTGACTAGCAGATAACATGAAGCATCTTAAATGCGTATCTTGCAGCTTATTACACACTGAATATCACAAAAGTGCCATAACATTTTACCCTTAATGAGATAATAAAGCATGAAAGAAGAGCCACTTTAAAAAACGTTCCCTGCTTAATTGTGCCTTGAACAGGCGGACGGCTATACTATATATAATTTATTCCATTGCTCTGTGCAGCCTGCAAGAAATATACATGTGTTTCATTGCTGGTATTAACATACAACCCTCAGTCATGTGTACTCAACCCATGGCATCACACCTGGCCCATGCTGTATGCACTCCAAACAGTCATTTACAGTGTGCCATGCTAAACAATTTTATTAGCACAGAACTGGACTTCCATCTGTCTAGTTACTGACCCAGAGGAAAGCATGTCACATGTGACTCTGCCAGTTAAGTAAACCATACCTACTTGTGTCAAGTTTGACCCTTGCCGGGATGCGAAATACATGAGATTTTTCTTTTTTTTAATCAATATTTGCTCACACAACTACAACCGTATACAATACTGCTTTAATAAACCACAATGAACACATGGCATAAAGAACTCCAAAGACAATATAAACCTTTGGCAAAATAGAATCATGCTCTTCAAACCTATGAACTGCTATATCTTAAAAGTTAACTTACCCCTGGGACAAGGAGACTTGGACGTTGTAACAAGGCAGAAGAGGATTGTCCGAGAACTCAAATTCAAAGGCATCTACACAGTCATCTTCATCATCTGGACCCGGAGGATTAGCCAGGACATCAAACCCACTTTCCTCTTCTGGATCTAAGCGACAGAAAATTGTGTTAATAGGATCAGACAAGAATATACACATTCGTCACTTGCAGACTGGAAGTGGTGGTTATAAGAGGGCCTCTATTCCAGTTCCAGAGTGCATCTTAGAATACTTAAAACGGCCCTTCTCCATCTACCAACAAGTCATGCAGCAATATTTTCCCCTAAACATTTGTAAAAATGTGTACGATTCCCATTCTGTTCTATCACGAAAATACCTATGTACACGAGTTTCTTTATGTCCGAGTGAAAGTGTGCCTGTTAAGCACAGTGGATCCTTTTATTAAAACAGTTCGAGAAAAACAAAAACTGTATATCAATTCTCTTTGTGTTAGTGTCATCAATGTGACGGGAGGCACACAGAGTGCCCAAAGCCATAGAAACGTCAAGAATTCATATAGAATTGCTAAGCTGAATGTTGCTTTGGCCCAAAAACCCTCATCTACTGCACAAAAAGAAGTCTCAAGTGCAAAGTCACAGGAATAAAGAAACCCAACATAAGAAATGTAATCTTTAACCTGCACTAGAAAGATTGTTTGCTATGGGCACTTTCTTTCTCCAACGGTTAAAAGTTAATTACAGATAGTCACTTCAGACCTGCTAAACATAGGTCAAACAGCAGGAAGTATCGAATGTCCCGGTAATACTTTCCTAAATGGCGTGCGGTAGCTTTGATTTGTTGGTGACTTGGGAGGATTTATCCTCATCAGAAGCCAAAAATGACCTAGATCGATGGACTACTCATACATCAGACACACATACAAACACAGTATTGTGACACTGGCACTCCAAAAGTTCCTCTAAATAGTTAATGGCTCTAGCTTTTACTTACCACAGACAGAGCTGCCAGAGAAATCCCAAGAAAGTCCAGGGTCGTCTCCATTTCGCCCTTGCAAGTCCGTTAAATATTCTAGAGGGAAAAAAATATATACATATAATGTAGTAACCCAAAAGAAAAGCTTATCACATGCAACTGTCAATTTCAGATTTACAAAATTAATCTTTTTGATATTACAGCAACATATCTCGAACTGATGTGTGCCTGTGTGAACTGCGAGTAAACTCCCAGTTATCCGGCACCCACGGGGATAGGTAGGTTCCAGATAACAGTAGTTTCTGGTCGCATGAGAGTTAATAGTAAGGCTGGGTTCACACCTAGGCATAACGAATATGCGCGTTTGTCGCGCGTTTCGTGATGTGCGTTTTTACCGCAATTCGCGGTAAAAACCGCTCAAGCCCTCGGAGGGCTACCTGGCTGTATCCCAATGGAAACGCGCGACAAATACGCCCCAAAGAAGCTCCTGTACTTCTTTGGGCCTAGGGCGTTTTACAGCGCGTGGGAACCATGCCCATAGGCAATCATTGGTGTTCACATGTTGAGTGTTTTACAGAGCGTAGGAACGCGCTGTAAAACGCCCAGGTGTGAACCAGGCCTAACTCTCAAGAAAGTTCTCTCTCAGGTCAGCTCCTCTGCTCAGTGGGCAGGTACAATAGCCAGCCTGCTATTGCTCCACATTGTTTAAAATTGTGCTGCCAACCGCGGAATCTACCTGCCAGCCAGATGTAAACAGAGAATTTCCTTAGCAAATGAATTATATTTAAGCAACCGGTTGCTTGAGTGTGCCGAATAATGGGGCGTTTACTGTGTATAAAGAGATATACACAGTAAACGCCCCATTATTCGGCACATATACATACACACGTTTTAAGTAACATGTTTATGTGCGTACTCTGCTTAGACCAAAATGGGGTTATTAACTTGTATATATTAAATGAGTTTGCTCTATTAATGTACACTTAATAAATCTTGTATTTGGATTATGTGGCATCGTTTTAGCCTGAATGAGTACTTCCAGCATTTGTTTTGGCTGCAGGTAGACATTTGGTGTCAAGTAAGAACCTTGGAAATCAGCATCTATAGCATTTCACAGTCTAAACGGGCAAGATTTTGACAGCAGGGGCAGTGCGGGTGTCATGTGGTAGCGCGGGAGCTATTAAACCTGCGGGTTAAACCAGGTTTCAATCCAGTCACTGGGATTTCTTATTATGCGACAGCTAAGATCATACTCTCGCTGCCTAATTTAGCTGTCTTTGGCATGGTAGAAGAAAAAAAAAAACAGCTATCACATCTGCATAGCAAGGCTGCCAGCAACTATCTCCTGCTGTCTTATAATCGGAAAATGCCCTTGATAAGACGTTCTCTTAGAGCAGGCGCTTAAAAATACCCAGGTCCTCCCTTTGTCGCAGCAATCTGCAAATGTGAACCCAGCACAAGGACGTGGGACTGCTAGTTCTCTATGGAAATGTACGATAATGTGTGTTTAGGTTTAAAAAGAGCTTTATTGCTCATTAATAACCATTCAAAGCAGGGAAAATACAGCATACTTTCCCTGAAAGGCTGCAATACTTTTATTTTCATAAATATACAAATACTGCACACACAGTCATCAGCCTCAGCAACTATGTGGCGTTAGACAAATACTAGCACAATTCTTAGAAGAAAAACCTGACCTCCTTGTAAGGGCAGATGTAGATGGCCGCCTACATTGGGCTGGATTGGTAAGGTTTGCCAAGCATAATGTATAGCATGGGTAGCCAAACTACAAGTCCCATAATGCATTACATGACTAACAGCCACACACATAACTCCCAAAGGGGAAGGGCATGATTGGGATTTGTAGTTTCACTACAGCTGGAGGGCCAAACTTTGGCTAACCCTAATATAAAGGGTCTCCACAGGGCAAAATCCTAATGAGCAATCTCAGAGTGGTTCTGCTGTAGGGCCAATTTTCACAGGGCTCAATAAGTAGCAGGAAGGGGGGCTTTGGCTGCACCACTGCAAGTGGAGATTGGGAAGCCTCTTAAAAGAGTCTTTGGGCAACTTGAGGCAGCCTTCTTTAACTTGGTCAGATAACCCAGACCCATTACCTTTATCATTAACTCAGTCTTCTTAGATTCCAAAGTTACCTCTAGAACTTTTTTTGACTGGTTATTTGAATTAACTAGGAGTGGACAATTAGATGTCAGATGTCACCAATTCTGGAGCCAGCAGACTCTTAAGGAAACATGTGCTTCCACTTACATCAGACCAGGCCTCTCCGCAGCCAAGATAAAAATATCTCCTATCAAGCTGACTTGTACAGTGAAAGGCGGCTCTCTGAAATCCCACTGCAGCAAAGTCACTTACACAATCAAAATGCTCTTATCTAGTTAATAATTTAAACAGTTGCTGGATAATGATCATATATGTGCAGCACACTAATGCATGTACATGTCGCAGCACTGAAATAGTAACAAGCCTCACACACAATGCTTTTACCACTTACAAAAAGATACAAAAAAAACAAAACCCTTTTACTGTGAGAAAGCAAAAAACTATCCACAAGCACTAAACCAAAGATGAAATTTGGAAACCATAAAACGATTGCGATTAATTAAAAACAAAAAATGACATAAAAGGCTTATTTAGCTCTTTGTTGCATATTTTCACTTTGGCTACAAGCAGTGCCTGATAATAAAACTCACCAGTTAGGAAGGTTTCCATCACCTCACTGTGCGTCATTTTGGCAATCGTTCTCCCAGAGTACGTTGCCAGAGTAGGATCAGCGCCATATGACAGTAATAATCGCACAATTTCCAAATGATCGTTCTCTACGGCATCATGGATTGGCCTAAAAATAGAAAGAAACATTATTAAAATCATCCAGACACGTAGCAGTTATAAACTTGCAGGCTGTCTCCAGCACATGAGCCCCTGGGTAATACTAGAGGGGAGAGGACAGCAGATGCCCACCTGGTTCCATCTTGTGCGCTGCAATTAACATCTGCCCCATGTTCCAGTAGATGTCGGACGATGGTCAACCAGCCTCTAGCACAAGCCTCGTGTAATGCGCAGTACCCTGCATTATCTCGGTGGTTAACATCATAGGATTTGCTTTCCAAGCAATAAAGGACGACTTCCTGTAGAAGAAAAATGATGCTGTTAAAAACTATTGTCTCAGGCTAAATCATTACTACTGTGAGCAGTAAAAACATAGATGGATCATTATCTGTCCAATATATACAAAAACACCAATAAAATAAAACATGAGAACCTGATATTGCAATTTAAAAAAAAAATAATTCAGACGTTGCACACTGAAAAGAAAATTCCATTCCACACCACACCATCAAATTAGTAACTATACACATAGTTACATAGTATTTGAGGATGAATAAAGACATTAGTCCATCAAGTCCAACCTATTAGGATCTCATTCTAGGAGTACCTGTACCCCTGTATATTACCTGTACCCCTGTATATTACGGTCCCTTAAGAAATCGTCCAAAAGTTTCTTGAACAATTCCACATTATTTGCTGAAATCACTGTCTGTGGCAGGGAGTTCCAGGCCCTAACTGATCTTACTGTGAAGAACCCCCTTCGCCCCTTGTGCTGGAATTTTTTTTCCATCAATTTTAGGTGGTGGCCTCTAGTTTTTGTAACGGAGTTAATTTTAAACAGTTTATCGCTAATGTTGCTACCACCATTAAACATTTTGTACATGGAAATCATATCCCCCCTTAATCTCCTCACCTCTAATGTGAACATGTTTAAATTTAGTAGCCTCGTCTCGTAGCTCTGGTCCTCCATACCCCTAATTAGTTTGGTTGCCCTTCGCTGGACTTTTTCCAACTCAAGGACATCTTTTCTTAGTACTGGTGACCAGAACTGGACCGCGTACTCCAGATGAGGTCGAACCAATGATCTATAAAGTGGCAAAATTATAGACTTGTCCCTGCAATACATCCCCTTTTTAATACAGGACAAGACCCTGCTAGCTTTGTTTACAGCAGCCTGGCACTGCAAACTACCTTTCAGTTTGTGGTCTACAATGACCCCCAAATCCTTCTCCATTTCTGACTTCCCCAGCGGCATACCCATAATTGTATAACCCATTTGTTTATTTTTAATTCCAAAGTGCATTACTTTGCATTTATCGACATTAAACCTCATCTGCCACATTAATGCCCACTCCCCTATTTTATCCAGGTCCTCCTGTAATGTTATAGTGTCTAAGTCCGTGTCTATTACCCTCCCTATTTTGGTGTCATCCGCAAACACGGAAATATCGCTGTTAACACCCTCCCCGATGTCATTAATAAATAAGTTGAACAATATGGGACCCAGCACAGAACCCTGAGGCACACCGCTCATTACACTAGCCCAGTCTGAAAAGGTGCCATTTACAGATACCCTCTGGACACGTTCCCGTAGCCAGTTCTCTATCCACGTACACACCACCTCATCTATGCCCATAGCCCTCAGCTTGTGTAGCAAGCGTTTGTGTGGTACCGTATCAAAAGCCTTTGAGAAAGCCAGATATACCACATCTACCGGCTTACCTCCGTCCATATCTCTACTCACCCCCTCATAAAAAGTTAGCAAGTTAGTTAGGCAGGAACGGTCTTTCCTGAACCCATGCTGATTGTCATTAACTATCCCGTTTTCCTGAACAAATTCTACCAGATAATCCTTTATTATACCCTCTAGCATTTTACAAACTACCGATGTTAGACTGACCGGCCTATAGTTCCCAGGTTGGCACCTTGCCCCCTTTTTGAATATTGGGACTACCGTAGCCCTCCGCCAATCACTGGGGATCCTACCAGTCATTAAGGAGTCCTTAAAAATGAGGATTAATGGTCTAGTTATAACCTGGCTTAATTCCTTAAGTACCTTGGGGTGCAGGTTATCCGGACCCACTGCTTTGTTTGCATTGAGCATTTTAAGTCTTTGTTGTATCCCGGTTTCTGTCAACCACTGGGGTATATTTTGAGTTAAACTGGGAGTTTTATCATGTGTGTCAAACCCGTTTCCCTCCCGAGTGTATACTGAGGAGAAAAAAAAAAAGCCTGGAATGAAGGTGAAGGTGGCTGCCAGAACCTCACTGTCCAGTGCCGTTAATCTCCTGCAGCCTCAGAAATAAAGCATTGGAGACATAGAAAATAATAATACCCATCCTGAGCCAATATTAATTTATATCCAGAACAAGACTAGGCACAGCATATCAAAGGCCACTGGTGCACTGGAGGAAGAGAACACGATCCAGAAACTTGCATTCATCTGCATCTGAGGAACGTATTTCCAAAGACTAATTTGATTAAGAAGGGAGGGGGGATAAGTAGGAAGTGCATTTTCCCCATAAGCAGAGAAGGAACACCTTTAGAATGTGGTCCTGAAATCTGTGACTTCAAACTGGTCTGCATAAAAGGTTGATACCTCAATTTCCCCTAGCATTTTGTAAAAATGATACCGTGTATGGCAGCATAAAGCCTGCACAAGCTATTACACTCCACATTTATGCAAAGCAGCCTGCACCAGGTAGGCCAGCACTACCGCAAATTACAGCCATTTGTATCAATATGAAAGGCTGTGCCATCATATCACATTTAATCAATGCAATCATCTGTAATGTCCTTAAATAACTAAATGGCGAGGAAAACTACCAGCAAAAATGAAAATGAAAGGATTTGTAGATGACCGTCTGAGGTTGCATCAGGACATTAAAATTAATGAAAAGTCAATATGTTAAAACTAGTTACTGTAGGGAGGAAGCAATGTCAACTACTTAAAGTGAAAAAATGCTCAGACTACACGAAGATTAAATCCTTTCATTTAATATTCTTAAATATTTTCAGTTCAGTGGACTTTATTAATTTTTTTTTTCAACACACTTTAGTTATGGTCATTGATCAACAACTAAAATGAGCATCAGAGATTGGCACTTTAAATCCATGAGCTGTCAGACTGAAGGCATGGAGCCGACTGCTTTACACAGCAAAATAACTCTACTCTGCTGCAACATACTTCAGGGATTTCCCTTTCGAAGGTACACGCCAGTCAAAGCTAAAAAGGAAGCCTTGATTTGCACACAGGAAGCACAGCCTACTCTGCACGTCGGCATTGTTATAATACACCAGTCCACTCCACACCTTTTAATTAATATGCAAATCTTAGATCACCTTAACTGCTCTGTGAAGCGACATCACAGACCTGCGGTAGAGTGCGCTTGTGGTGCACTGCGGTAGGCAGCCCATTCATTTGAATGGGAAGCCCAACGCAGCTAAATTGCACTGAAGCACCTCGCACCATATCACATAGTAATAGGTTACGATACAACGTGGTGCGATAAAACACATGTGATGGGTGACTGGGGTGCCATTAAGAAATAACATTGCAAAATTTGATGCAGGTCAAATCACGTGCAGCATTGAATGCACTCCCACGTTGTATAGATGTGAATGGGGGCTAAGGGTTGGACACCCCTGAGGGCTCCTTGCCACACAGGGTATAAAAGATTGCGACAAGATTCTCATCAATCAGATTTAAACCTGCCTTGGAAGTCTGAATGGGATTAGTGATACAGGATGCAGAAAAAAGTGAAACTGCATTAGAATCAGGAATATAATCCCTTTGCTCCTCCTCTTGAGCCTGTTAGATGGTCTGTGAAATCTGTCTGCAAGGGATTACAGAGATTAGGGGTAAACTGAGTGAGCTTTCTAACTTTTCCACAGTGCAATAGCATTAGTAGTTCACAGACTGCTTCCGCCTATTGCCTGGAAGAGCTCTTTTAGTGTGAAATACAAGTGTTGCGTACGTGAAAAAATAAAATTGTATAAAAAGAGATGACCTTTGTTTGGCTTCATGCATGAGAGCTATATAAACACAGCAGGTGTCCAGACAGACAGGTAATTCAAAGCTTAGCACCTGCTGAGACGCTGCCATGAGCAACATCAAAGGACTTGTGAACCATTGCTTCAGGTGTGGTGTATATATAGAACATTCAAAACAGCCGACGTGCCACTCGTTTTTCAGGCTTAAACACATTTACGGGTTAAGGAGCGAGGACTGAAATATCCAGCCACGCTCTGGCTGAACCGCATTATATCCGAGCTGTTCTCACTAGCTCGCCAATCTTCTCACGAGACCTGCAACCCGCCACCGTCGGTTTTCTAAATCCGCGTAGCAATTTACATCACAGCGGACATTCTTTGCTTCACACGACTTTTATACACAGCTGTCCCACCAAGAGATATTCCATTAGCCTGACTCTCTTGAGAAACGTCAACTACAGTAACAGATGTAAACTGCTTTTACTCAGAGGAAAAAGGGAGAATTTACAGCGGCCTATTTTCAGAGGCGGAATCTGTGCTTTAGGAATGCAGACGACAGCGAGGGCTTCCACATGTGTTTGTAGCTAGACGGGAATTGCTTTCAGCAAGTTTTCAAAAGTGTCTTACAGCAACCGAGCTGTAGAAAAAAGAAAAAAAAGTCCCCGCAGCAGCTGCATGCGAGCTGGATGATTTGCATGCAAGGCAAAGCGGTATCCAGGCGGCACATAAAGCGTATTGCCATTTCTCAGAAGCTGTAAGATCCAGGAAACCTGCTCTGCCGATCTATAAAGGTTAAGGAGACTGCTCAGAGATGCTGCGCATGTTGATTCACTGCCTGGCGTTCAAGCTTGTTATTAGTCAGCAGGCGGAGGGAAGGGGGGCGGAAGGGAGGGGGGTGAGGAATAGCTCGAGAGCATTTTATTCATTCTGATTCAAACCAAGCAGGGAGAGAGCACGCTAATCTGTGCTCTGGGCGCGCCTGACCTAAGGAGACGGTCGCTAGGATACAGCATGAAGCCTTTTCGTTTAGTCGGGGCTGCACATATTAGACCAAAGCGAGAGGCGGAAAGCTAATGAGATGCTCGTACAAGTAAGGGAACGATACCCTTGCGTCACGTGGCTGGATCAGATGCGGGCAACTGCATGGTACCAACTTAGAGATCAGCTTTCTGACACGCAGGAGGCCAAGCAAGCATGCTCCAGTAACTCTACAATCTATTCTAAATGGCACAAGCTACCATATAATGTTACAGGTCGGCAGGAAAGACTCACATGAACCAGAGAAGTGAACTCCAGTGGACATGCAAAAATAATTATCATGCCTCATTAGTCCTCTATAATTAAACACTTTTTTACTTTGTTATAAGTTTTTTATGAATAAAACTATAATGCCATGGGGAGCTCTAACAAATGCAAAAGTGAATGCCAAGCTGGAGGAACGGTCCTATAAATGATTATAGAACCTCAACTATAAAAGTCCAATTACAAAGGCTGTAAAATCACATTTTAAATAGGCTCTGTATAATCTCAGCGTTAAGCAGGGCATTTCAGGTGTGATAACATTTTGGGTTGCTTACAGCTGGCTTTTCACCATCACGTCACATACATATCTTTAACCTGTTTGTGAAAGACAGACTATGGGACCTCAAGTGGACACTGTACTACAAAGGATGTACATGGGGGTCTGGAACACATCAATACAAGGATATGGAAATACATAAAATGTGCCTGTCTTGTACATATGCCTCTCTGTTTTACCATGACGAGTCACTTAGGGATATAAAAAAAAAAAGGTATAGACAAGTGAATCCAACCAACTGCTAATGCCATCCAGAAAACACTGCAACTGTGCCCAGAGAGGCTGCTCCAGTAGATTCTTCTGAAAATGCTAGCTGGTTATTATTCAAGTCTAGATGTCCTTGTCTACACAATTGTTCCATAAGTGGCTAAAACAATGAAAGCAAGAGGATTAACATGACAGCCAGGCATTTAACATTTAAGAACAAGAGACCGGTAATGGCAGGCTCCATGTTTCTCTTATGGCATGTTATCTTTAATTTCGGTAGTCCATTCAGTTTACATTAACTTTAGATTACACAGAGTTCCTCACAGGTGGTGGGAAGGGATGCTTCCTTAAGCCTGCGCTATGCAACTCTGCTTGTGCTATATTCAACTACATTCAAGTCAATGGCTACTGACGCATCGAAACATCAGGCTTTCCAAAAATAAGAGGAAGCAAAGCGCCTTTGGAAAACATCTGCTGTATGCCAGCTTCCAGAAGGAAACAGGAATCTGATGGCAATTCTAATTTTATTTTAACATTCCATGGAAGTATATACCTATGAATCTGCTTATGCTTATTGCCTATACTGTATGTGATGAAAGTGTTATTGCAGGCAATCAAAATACAGAACTGCGCATTGCTGCCCTATAAAAGGGCAATCTGTTAGAAAGACAAATGGTGAAGTCCGCTGACGTTAGCCGATTCACATTTAAGAACGTCCAAAATAAAGCATGGTTTGAAGACTAATGGAAACGTATCTGGAAACTACCTCTATGTGCATTCTTGGTAATGAAGAAAGCGTCTTCATACCATCATACTACACATTTCTCTGAAAATGAAAACCACTAGAGGGTTTCACAATTAGGTTTCAGGATGAGAAAGTTTTTTTAGAACCGTCGCATTAACAAAGTAATAAAAAAAGAAAAAAAAACAGTTTGAAGTTGCCACATTTCCATACGACAAACTCAAGAGTCTTGAATAATAATAATGATCACCCAGCAAGTCTTTAGTACAGAGGGTATTGATAGACAAGATAATACAAAGCACGTACCTCATAGCCTAGTCGTGCCGCCCTCTGTAACAGCGTCTCCCCTGCATTCTTGTTAACAATGAGGCGGCGTGCTTCTGGAGGCATGGGGCGACACGGTGTGGAATCGTGAAGGTGGTTGGGCAGTGGAGACAGCTGTGATGGAGTCTGTAGAAAAGACATCTGCTCTGCCATTCTTAATGGAGAGTTCTCTGGTGAGAGTTCAATCTGTTTCCTGAAGCCCTTTATGATGACCTGTAATTAGATAGTTTGGATTAAAACGGACCCATCATTAAAAGGCACACTTCACACATCAATCAATACGGCACCTTACGGTATTACCAAACCACATTATTTGGAGTGAAAAAGTATTTTTTTAGCCATGTACTCAAAAACCGTTTTCCCAATTCCATCCTAAGCAACTTAGATCATATGGTCTCTAATCATTACTGCAGAGTCTATTCAAGACGACGGCCCACATGTATATACTATATATAGAAAGCTTTTCTTTAACGCATTGGCACAGATTCATGGTTGTTTACACCAAGTTGCACTGAAAAACATTAAAGGAAACCCGTACTGCAGAAGTAAAAAGAGAATATTGACGACCTATCCTTCTGAAGTACCCATTCCCTGGCTGTCATGCTTATTCAATGGCTTTATGCCGAGTCACTGACCCAGGCCAAGCATGCAGATTGGCTCTCTGGAGACATGATCTCTTCAGGACAAAGTAAGAGGTTCACTTTAATTGTTCCCTCCAAGCACATACTCCCTTTCCCCTTCCTCTGCCATTCTGTTCTGCTGGCAACAGCAAAAGAAGCCACCTTGTAAAAGCAACTATTCACATAGCTTGTAGTTTACACAGGGCTATGGGCTCCCCCCATGTCTGTATTGGTGCATATTGATTGGGCAATGCTATCACATGGAGCAAGTCACATATTCCTCCATACCTGGAAGTACTGGGTATTTTTTTTTTGCTTCTTGTAGCTAAATGGATCATTAAAAGGAGTGAAAGAAAGGGGGAGTATGTGCTGCTGGGAAGGACACTACATACATACTTTGTCTTTCCTGCAATAAAGGAATTGTTCATGCACAGTTCAGTGTACAATCCAGACATATGCGGGTTTGAAAGAACTCCTGTGCACATGCGTGGGAGCAAACCTCATTCCAGCATGGTCCAATCAAGATAGCTAAAGCTACCAAACCCTGAAGACGACCGAACAATGTTTGTGCTGGAAAGGGAGCTTGGTGACATCACATTGCTGGAACAGAAGAGAGTATAGTTCTGCTTTTAAAGGTCCGCAAAGTCTCCCTGAGCAGTGAACTGCATTAACCCTAGACAGCAGCAGTGTTTCTGAGAAATATGGGCCCACTTGGGCCCAACAGAGGCTGTAGATATAGGTAAACTAAAGCTGGCCATACACCTATTAGATAGATGCAGATTTTTCTATGTTTAGATGGAAAAAGTGCAACAGATTCATCCATCTACGCTAAACCATGTGAATGGAGGAATCTTCCACTGGGCCAAGCTTCAATATCTTGCTAGTCGGCCCCGCTAGATCTCAAAATACCTGAACAATCTTATTGGATGCAGACATTGTTGGGTATTTTGAGAGCCAGCAAGGCTGACTAGCAAGATACTGAAGCTTTGCCCAGCGGGAGATTCCTCCATCCACATGGTTTAGCACTTTTTCCCATCTGACCATCGAAAACCTGCAGATAATCTATAGGTGTATGGCCAAGCTTTAGACAGAGGCAGGCAAATTAAGAGTGCTTAAGAGCTCTTCATCTAGCTGTTGGCTGGAAGACAGGAAATTTATGACTTGGTAGATGTTTGACATCAAAGGCCGCAGTGGAAAGAAATGGGATTGGTCGCCTTCGATCACAGTAAAACGATGGCTTAATTGAGATAATCACTAACCCTAGAGTTTAATGTAAAGTCACTCAAGTCCATTTAGATGTCCATCTGAATTAATTTTAGAACAAAAGCACTAATATATTTCGCTAACACGTCTTTACCATTCCCTATATAAGATATGCACAAGCAATCAACACAGTACGGAGGCTGTATATAAATAAAGCAAAAAAAAAAAAAAGGCCAAATGAGAGGGGGAGAGAGCGTGAGCATGAAGCCCGCAGACGTAGCACAATGCTACTGAATGAATGACTTCAAGATGTCTACACAGAAGCAGGAAATATTAGAAATCTATAAGCTGGTGACCTCTTTGTTGCACCGCAATGTAGTTAGCACAGAACCAGCTATTAATCCTTTCAGTTGTGAAATGATGCCTGTCGCACAGAATAATATGTTACGGACCTCTCTGGAGTAATTCTTCAGGCGCTGCATTTCAAGCAATTAAAGATGAGAGGAAATAAACATATAGAGCAAATGACTCAACATGCAGACAACCTCTTTCTGGATTTGCAGAACAATATGCTTTCAGAAAGGCCAACAAAGCAGAAGGCAGCCTTGGGTTACGAGGAGTATGCCGAGGCACATGACACGCCGTGGAAAAAAACGTACAACCATGCCAATGGGCTCAAGACGGAGAGCTAGCTGAAATGTGTAAACATTACCGCTATCTTCATCTGCCGCTTTCAAAGGGCCGCATTGAGAGCTTCAGTTTCTACCGCGTGATCTGCTTGAGTGTCGAGTAGCCAAGATCCCCAGCTGAGATAAATAGGGAAATCATCTGACGTTCCTTCTTCCCTAAAGACATGCACTAATGGTGGCAGGGAGCATAGGTGTTTTACCTATTCCCTTTCATCCAAAATGCTTCGAAGAAAATCTGCTTTCAAAGCAACCTGTCCTAAACGAGACAAAGGCTGCCACTGCTTCCTTCTAAAAATGCTAGTTGCTTGGCTATAATGCTGATCCTATGGTTTATGTATTTCCAGGCTGACTCACACGCTCTGACTTCACCTACAGCATTGCTCACATTTCACTCACCCGTTCACAGAGCTAACACAGAATGAACAGGATGCGTGGGGCTTGCTGCTTCAAATGTAATTAAGCCCCCCATGAGATTGTTCTGTGGACTGCATTGCTTTATGTGCCCCCATCTGGAATGAACATTATGGCTCTGCAGCTCGCTGCCACTTTGATGAGGGCACAGTATACGGTGTACCTGACAGGGGTGCCCATGAGTCTGATACACTGTATGACTGCCAACAGAGCATGAACTTGGTTGAATAGGATGTGGAGATTAAACAGTATACGGATGAAAATGCATTTGTAGAAAGCAATGCAAGAGAACTCATATATTGCTTACATGTTCCCTTTAAATAAAAATGCTTGAAAACGTAAAATATGAGCTGCTGGAATACATGATTCTAGCCACATTGAAGAACGCAATCCAAAAACAATACCTTCTCGTCTGTGCTTCCTATATCCATGCTGTCATCAACAGCCAGCAGCAATCTTTTCCTCTTCCTTTCCTGTGGAGTCATGTGCTTTGTCTTGCACTGCCGTTTTCCAGAGGGCTTCTCGCACTCGGTGTAATCCTCAGGCAATGACGTGACTTGGAGACCCCCCTCTTCATCTGTGCACGGCACGTACGCCTTGCGGCCCTCTCTAATCTTCTGCTGCTTGGCTGCTAACCTGGGGGCTGGGGCGGGGTTTGGCTGACTCTGCCGTTTGCTGCTTGGGCAGCCAGGTGGAAAGCCTTTCACATGCGGAGATGTTGGAACGTCTGAAGACAGGGAATGAGGGAATAAAAAGGAAGGAAATGAGGAGGGAGAAGAAAAAAAAAAAAAGGCGAGAAGTTAAATTCTGCACAGCTGGAAAACAGAAAGGATTATGGATTCTTACTGAAAAACCCTTCCCAACCCAGCTAGTCCCATCCCATTAAAAATTAAACAGCAATTATCTCCCTTCAAAAGCATAAATAAATATATATCAGATCAGTCTGAGATCCTGAAAGGCAGTGCAGTACCTTGGGCAGAATTGCAGTTTTTAACATGGTCAGAGCCTCCTTTGCTTTCACATTTAGCCTTGAGGAGCTCCTCCCGCAAACTTCTCTGCTTGTCCTCGGTGTCTGCAATGTCACGGCTATCGCACAGATCCTTACGGTTCAGCTGGCCCAGCTCTCGGAGGTGCTGCAAGTGGCGCTGTTTTTTGGGGTGCAGTCCAGTTAACTCAATGCACACTTTAAGGTTTGTGACTTCACTGCAGGGGGACTCTTCTGTGAATTTGGAGAAGTCTTTCAGATCCCTCTCTGACCAGTCATCTAAAAAGAAAATGTTATAAAATCATGTTAAGTCATTCAATTGGGTTCCACGGGAGACAGGCTTTATGTATGAACACAGACAAAGCATTACAGACCGGGGCAGGCAAATAAAAAAAAATCACCTTTCTAAACTTTAAGACAGGGTAGTGACAGTAAATTTGGTATCGTATACAGTGGGGTGTAGGCAAACTTTGGCCCTCTTTCTGTGGTGAAACTACAAATCCCCGTAGGCACTGAAAGACTCTGCAAAGACATGACTGACTCTGCATCATTGGTAATTAAAAGTTACATCTCCCATAGTGTGGCCATATACTTGCATCTTTTGTGTAACTATAGACTTTATAGTGTAACTATACGGCTTTAAAGTGTAACTATAGACAAAACATTTTGGACCGTGTGGGAGAAGGGTTGAGAACTGCCGTTGGAGAGATTCCTTCGCTTTCTGTCCGGTTAAAAAGTTGTCCTCAGGACAGGGAGTGAGTGGGGCATTGTTCAGTAACAGACAGAAGTAGAAATGCTTTTTCAAAAGTGAAGTAGGAGAATGTGAGAACCACTGTCAGCTTTTTAGTGTTTGCTATCCTGTTGCAGATTTTCCTTTACTTTCTGTCTGGTAAAACGTTATCCCCAGAACAGGAAGTGAGAGAGAATCTCTAACAGAGCCCTGAAAAACAGTAAACCTGCCAAGGGTTCTAATCTTCCCCCATTCTATAAAGAAAGATTTGGGTAGAGAAACACTTTAAAGCATCAGCAGTTTATGCAGAGAAGCATAACCATTTCTGAAGGGCAGGAAAAGGAAGATGCTGCCACTAAAAGTGGTTTGCTTCTGAATATGCACAGTTGGTGCAATGATCAGTTCTCCAAAAGGTCACGGAATTTCAAGAAATGAAAGAACAAGAGCAGAAAAAAAAAAAGGAAGTGGTATCTTCTGCCTGTTTAACTCCTGGTTACAAAACCTCACCGACGTCTGCCTCGGTCTCCCTCAAGGGACATTACAGCTGCGGTAATCTGCTGTTTCAAGACCCCGGAAGCCTACTCACCAGTCTTTTTCCTTTTCACTCTGGTGTCATCCTGCGTCTCGTCTCTGCAATTAGGCCGTTTGTCTAGATTTTCCGTCAAGGTCTCTCCAGGGTGTTTGCGCTTCAGTCCCACGCTTTGCCCTTGGTTGCCAGTGTCTGTCGTGGCTTCTAGTTTCAGTTTCAAGGCATCGGAGAAAATCAGTTTGACTGAAGGACAGTCCTCATTGGGGGCCTCTTTTTCTTGATACCGAGAGGTTTCAATCACGCCGCCACAAGAAAGTGTCACATCACCTGGAAAATGCAGGTGCCGTTAGTAAAATGAAACACATTCATCAATTTCATTTCAACAAGCATTTAAGGCAGAGCTGAACAAATTGCACGTAACCGGCTCCCTCTGATGAAGCACGTGCGCAAAAGCAGTCGGAAGTCAAGGTCACTAGTATGCTGGTGCCCTGAGGCTTGGTGATTATTAGAAAAAAAATCTATATGAAAAGAGATTTGATTTTATAAAATCACGCAAGTTGAGATTACATTTTGCAACAGGGATGATTATATCCTATGATTACAGGTATTGTTTCAAAAGATAACAAAGTAGCCAGCGTACCTACACATCTCCCGGCTCATTTGCATTGTCCAGCGGCTTCTAGATTAAACTCACTGCTTCCTATACATAGTATGCATTCCTATACAGTCAACACTGACAGTTTGTTATTTCTGCCACAGAGAAATTAAGATTTGACCTTTGATAGCAATAGGACAGCAACATGTCTGGGTTGTCAGTTACTTTGGAGCAAGCAAACTCTGTAATGATAGTCATATACAATTTCCATCATAGGAGGTCCATATTTGATCTCTCTTAGATACAAACTATCAAGCAAGCCGCTTTTGTAAAGGATCATTCAATCATCAATACGTGAAACTATATGGACAAAATATCGCAAAGAGCTTTCCCGCCTCGTTCGATCATAACTTTTTTGATTTGATGGCTAGATTTGGATTGAAAGAAAGCACACCGGCTCATAAATATTTGAAAGCTATACCTGTAATATTGAAGGACTGCCCTGATCAAATAACTATATTTAGAAAGATATGACTACCTAGAAAGAGAAAGATTTCTTGTCCAAAAGTTCAAATGGCAAAAAACCTCAGTCGCTGTAGATGCTTTGAAGCTTATTGAGCACAAACCACTTATCAATATAAAAAAAACAAAAAATTGTGTTGTCAGTGATAATGAAGGGTCTTACTTATTAATTTTTACCAGAAAAATATTTAACAACTTAGCCAAAAAAGGTAGGGGACTAGACTGAGACAGGAGAGCTATTATGAACAGATGAGTTAGCCAGGTATGAGCAGCTGATGGTTCTTGTAGCAGCAGCCTAAAAAAAAATTGTCAGCAGGCGCAGGAGATGACACTGATGATTATGTATATTCTCTGCTTATTCTGTGATCTGCCTATCTTAAGACTGCAGAATTCCACTGCTTCCTGCTTTGAAAACCGACACACCAACAGCAACCAACACCTACAATGCACTCCCCCTTCTGTAGATTGGGGTGGAAAGCGTGTTTGTGATTTTCTTGCTGAATACCGCACTAGACTAGCCCCGCTTCACAAAGCTCTTCTGCTATCTCAGCATTATATCTTTTACTGGCAGGGGAGGAGAGAAAAAAAAAGTAACAGACACTTTCCACTCACACACCACATCATATACCAGAAATGCAGAAAGCACACCATCAGTTCCACTCTGACTGCAAACAGCTTTCTATGGCTCTGAAAAATGTGTGCGCATCAGAATGTCTTTACAAGTCCCCCTCGTTATTGAGCGACAAGCCAGGAAACTCCCGGCTGAAGCAACACGTACACACAATAATGCTATCAAATCTGTCTCCTGGAAAATAACGATGATACACAGAAGGGCTGTGCGTCTTCGCCGACAACATTTCTGCGTCGCTGGAGAGGAAGCAGAAATGAGATCACACAAACTCCTCTGCAACTTCGAGTCGCTCGCTGGTGTCTCAGGATTTCAAATTTGCCTGTTGCTTCATTATCTCCCCGTGCTGAGCTCTCACGTGACTTGCACAGATGTGATGCTTGCACGCCAGTTGCTTAGATCATTCGATCATTTGATCTGAGAACAATCATATGACTCATGCGGCACATGCAGCCCATAATCTCCGTCGTTCGGAACGGGGAAAGGCTCCGCAGACTCACTGCCATAGCAACATTTAGAAGTCTCCTGGGCAACCAGAAAAGCCGCGTTGCCGTTCTTGCAGTGCCCCCCCCCCATTCCACAAAGTGCCTGGAACAATGTGAAAGCACTTAATGACGATCCTGTTACATCCTTTATTTATTTGGGCAAGATGGGGAACTGGTGGCGACACACGCGCAAAATGAATGCTAGTGAAAATGATGAGATTAAAAAAAATTCTCCAGGAATGAGCAGAACTCTTCGTACTTGCAAAAGGACGCTGCTCAGTGATTTACAGCTCGTGGCCTGCAGCTCATTAACTTCTACAGGGGAGAAGAGAGCCGTGTGACGTCCGAGTCCAGCTCAAATTAGTCGTGTTGAGACTGTGAGAGGGGAGGTGCTGCCATATCTGGATGTCTATCCAGTTCTATGAATATTTATGGCCAGACTTCCCACACTGTTCGAGAAAAACAGCCACACCGGCAGTGCAATTTTCAGTGCAAGGATCTCTCCGGTCTCTCAAAGGACAAGAATGCAATACACTGAAATAGTTTGCTTTAATAAGGTCCAGGTCAGGAAAGTAAAGTAAAATCCCTTTTGCTGGGTAAAGAAAGGAGACCCATTGTGTTGTACGCTATACTCCATTGAGGACTTATCGTAACAGCTTCTTTGTTTCAGAACACAGCCTCGAGCTCTATCCTGGAAGTTAATAAGCTGGGAGGTGTAAATCAATGGACGGCACTCTTTGTGGACTTCACCTCCACCATAGGACAGGTTAGACGGTAACTACGGAGACGTAAAACTATCTATTCAAGGCTCCATAAATGCATACCTGTCAGCAACTATCCTGAGAGCTTCAGGCCACTTACTGAAAGACCTTACTCAAGAAAAAGCCTTTACATCACTGTGCATCCCAACATAGATGGATCTCTTCTAAAAATATCACATATTAGTAATCCTTGACAATGCCTGTACTGTAGAATCATTTGCTGCTTAATAAAATGTAAATGTTCTACTAAGCATTTGTTATTATTCAGAATGCACGGGCCAGACATAAATGCTCAATAGTGGTCAGTAAGAAGAACCGTTAGGTAGGTGCCAAAAAAAAAAATTAGGTATTGTTTTATTCTTAAGTGCACAGGAAGGAATATTTGGCCTAGTGAATAGGCGCAGCCTGGTGGCCCAGCCAGATGAGTCCTGCCAATGGAGAACCATGGATACAAAAGCAAACACTATGTACAACCATGGGTACAGAAGCAGACACTATGTACAACCATGGGTACAGAAGCAGACACTATGTACAACCATGGGTACAGAAGCAGACACTATGTACAACCATGGGTACAGAAGCAGACAGTACGTACAACCATGGGTACAGAAGCAGACAGTACGTACAACCATGGGTACAGAAGCAGACAGTACGTACAACCATGGGTACAGAAGCAGACAGTACGTACAACCATGGGTACAGAAGCAGACAGTACGTACAACCATGGGTACAGAAGCAGACAGTACGTACAACCATGGGTACAGAAGCAGACAGTATGTACAACCATGGGTACAGAAGCAGACCACTATGTACAACCATGGGTACAGAAGCAGACCACTATGTACAACCATGGGTACAGAAGCAGACAGTACGTACAACAATGGGTATAGAAGCAGACATTACATACAACAATGGGTACAGAAGCAGACAGTACGTACAACAATGGGTATAGAAGCAGACAGTATGTACAAGCGTGGGTATAGAAGCAAACACTATAAACAAGCGTGGGTATAGAAGCAGACACTATATACAAGCGTGGGCATAGAAGGAGACAGTACGTACAACCATAGGTATAGAAGCAGACACTATGTACAACCATGGGTGCAGAAGCAGACAGTACATACAACCATGGGTACAGAAGTAGACAGTATATATTTGAATTTGTCATCATAGAAACAAACTGTTTCTCAGTATTGGGTAGATTAAAGCTGGGCCAAGTAATGGTTAACAGCCGCGGAATCACAGAGTAATATGTGCATCTATATTAAGCTCCAGGTCTTATTACACATCATTCCATGAAGTTTCACTGCATAAAGCAGCACAGGAAAGAGTTAAGACCTGTGAAGGGAAAACATTGGCAAGCAGCTGTTTCACACTGCAGAGCTGCGAGGTGGTAATGAAACGGAAAATATTCCCCTCTACACACTGAAGCAGCATACACAGGTTGAGACGATTTCAGCTACAATCGCAAAATAGCACACGGGTTTCTGAATAGGACGCACAGCGGGGGATTCACAGCGCCCAGCGATCCGGGCTCGAGTGGCAATTAACACAGATGGAGCGCCAATACCCATTAACCAGGCATTGTACAGTAACCCTAACCCCTATTGTGCCACTAATGTGCACTCAACATTAATAGACACACTGGAGATTGTGCAGACACGCAAGGATATCCGTGACATGAGCGGCTGCATATTCACAGCCTTAAAGGTCAGTTTTAAAGGGACATTGCCGCTTTCATACATGAATGGCGCTTTGTTCTGACTCTGATGCAAACACCTGGAAGCTCATCAAGAAAAAAATTGGTCCCAGATTCAATTCTTCTTTGAGCTGAAAAGAACGAGGGGCTTAATTTCTTTCCATCATGGTAAAGGGGATCTATTTCAAGAAATGCTTTCTCTAACCTTAATTTTTACCATATTTTTAAGCACAATAAAAACACCAAATAAGGATCCTTATTTTCAAAAAAGTGACTGTTATTTCTAGTTGAGTCCAATGAGACTGGACAAGGCTGGATATAAAGATGTGTATCCTTGTGTAAAGCTTTGTGAATTGAACTATATACTGTATATGTTTGGTTTTATGGTCTTGTGCACCCCCCACCCCCACCCTTTATGAGCTCTACAATCATTTGGAGGTGTGATAGTTTTCCTAATTTGCTGACGTGGGTCTGGTCTTTCTTGCACACAATGTCAATGACATCACTGGAGTAAGAACCACAGGGCAAGGCTGGGCCAGATACATTTCATAAATAAAAGAGAAAAGTGAAGGGAAACAAGGAAGTCACATCCCTGTGTTTGCTCATTGAGAAACATCAAACTGTAAGAAGTATACAGATTTCTTGGCGATGGATACATAGTAGCATGCTCTTAGAATATTAGCATCCCCTGAAGTACAGACTGCTTCACGACTGAGGCGCTGCTGAATTGAAATATCCGATGAAATCGCCTCTGGAATGAATGCCTTGTTACATTATACTAGCTGTGTAACAATAAGCTTCAGACTCAATGGATCTGCAACCCTAACCACTCACATTGTAGGTAAAAGCGAGATATATTAAAAGCTCCGTCTATTCACCAAATGGATTTATACTCTGCTCACAATCTATAGCCATAAAACACTGAAGATTTATCTATAAAAGCAGCTTCTAGCATTTAGAGAAAACTCACAAACAGCAGGACAGAGCTAACCAGAGTGGATTATATGAGGCTTTGGTGAACACTACTGAGGTCTTAAAGAAAACCTCAAGATACTGACGTCTGGCTATTGGCAGGATGCCCACGTGCTCGATATCACCTAATCCCCCTGCTCTAGTATCTTTATTGTACCAGTGCCTGGAAAACGCCAAGTCAAATGAAACACGCATTCAATTCGTACTCAAGCCCAACAAGTCAGAGGCTTCAGACGGACGTTTCCTAGTCACTAGCAGACTCCTTGCGCTCTGCATTCTATTTTCCTCACCTTCCGTTAGACTGATGACGGATTCTCCCAGCACTGTAGAGACTGGCTTGTTGTATTCTAAGAGAGGCTTGGCTTCATCGCGCTCGAGCTGATTGTATTTGCAAGTTTCCAAGTCTTTGGTAGGTGTGTGGTTGTCTCGCTCTTTCATTTCAAGCTCAGAAAATCGCATCATAGCACGCTAAAAAGAAAAGGGTAATGAACAAACAAAGTCCTTCGCTACATACGTTAATAAAAATAAAGAAAACACTATGCAATGACAATACAAAACAATGAATACATATCGGGTGACTTTAATAAGGCAAAGAGCAATGTGCCAAGTACAATAACCCATAGCAACCGATCAGTCACATTTTATTCACCGACTGCTCGATTTTGCCACTATAGGTAACTGCACTTTGGGCACCAGTTCTGCTCTTTGCCCTACCTTAATATTAGTTACACCAGGCTGGCTTATTGTGACTGCATGCAGACTATACCCATAAAAATGAGGCGAGCTTAAAAACACACAAAAGGTAGAACATCCCTCAATTAACAAATATTCACGATTCAGAATGTATCTTTAGATTTAGGAGTAATATACTTATATATTCATGTGCAAGTCTGCTGCCACATGGGGACCACAAGTAGGGAATTTCTAACCCAACAGGCACACTTTGACATCTATTCTGTGGAATGACTCCTAGTTTGTGGTCACAGCTGCTTTATGCTTCGCTATGACCAAATGGACCGCACTATTTGCACCTGGCAGAAAACCAGGTATATTATAAGAATGAAAAAAAAATAAGGGTAGTCTGCATCTTTGAAGCGGTCCCCGGGGATATTACAAAATAAACCTATTTTTATACATAGATTGTGATCCACAGTGGTTTACACTAATTTCCTTATCATCCATAGCCATTAGGTGTGTTTTAGCTGATATTTCAGCATTAGGTAACACTGGAGAATGAAAGCTACCCAACAGTTTCTTTGGGACTCTGGCGGTAAGGTCTGTGCGGTCAAGTTTACAGACTGGCACATCTGCTATGGCGATTACAAGGGGGTCTTGCTCGATGTAATCGTGTAAACAGCAGACTAGGGACGGTGTGCAAGAACAACTAATGACTATGGCAAGGAGATCTCACAGCTGGAGGCCATGGGACACAGAAAAAAAAAAAACCTTGTGCATGACTCAACCCACCAGATTCTACAGTTGCATGGACAGACTCTTCAAAATGTATACAATTCATTTGGTTATTGTTTGCCTGTAATCCATGACAAATGTAAAAAGGGCGAGCAGACCTATGTCAGCAACCTTTCCTTAAGCGGGATCTTGTATTAATCTTTAGAAATGGATTATCTTGGAGTACTATAAAACAGTTACAGCAGGAAAAAAAAGCAAGCAGTCTCTTTAAATTAAATATCAAAAGGAGTAAAAGGAGTTAAGCCCGCAGCCCAAGTCCAACTCATTTCCACAGGTATAGTTGCCTTTAAACAAGACAGCGGTTATGAATTTGTGATGTGACTCCCGACATTGGAGAATTAATACTGCAGCTGCCCGGTCATTCTCTGGAAATTATTCATGAAAAGCACACTTCTGCCCTCTCTTCACGCTGCCAGCGGCTCCGCAATATAGGAGGGGCTGAACGTTAACTATTTGCGAGCACAGCCGTGCAGAACGGGGTGCAAAGAGATTTTCAGGAGTATACATGAAGACCGATCATTTATTCAGGTTTAATCTTTCCATAATGGTCTGCAGAATAGGTTTCACAACAGGTAGATGGAGAAACACAATACTGCAGCTATTTAGATTCACATCCAGAGTGAAAAAAGAATGTGTTGCATGCGAGGATCATGAAGTTAACCGTTTATTTTTTTGGCAAAAGACACCCGTACTCATTAAAAGGGTCTAATAAACCAAAATCTTAGCTTTGTATGGGTTCCAGCAAGTTGAAATAGCTGCCAGACTCTTAAAAGTGTCAGGGATTACAATGGTGAGACATCCCTACAAGGCTTTTCACGGTGTTAAACCAAGTATTCTATGCAAGGGAGTCTCACTTCTTAAGTGCCATAATGCAAATGGCAATTTAAAGTAAAGAATTCAATGGATTACAAAAAGACACCTTGTAAAGACTGTGGCAGGTAGATAGAGCTGGGGACTAAGAATAAAAACATTTGGGTAGACTTACCCTTTAAAGGGTACCTGTTTACATACACTGCAGAGGAAGACATTTGGCTGTAGTACTCTTTCGGAGAATGCAGTCTACCGACTCACTACACACAAATGCAAAACACATCATCATCATGATGATGATGTCCCCCTGTCCCTGTGGACACCTATAAATGAACGGGACGTGAATGACATCACAAATTCATGGAGACCTGCCGACCTCTTGTACAAGATTGAGCATCACGGTGCAGCCATTTAAAATGCATAAGCATGCTTAAAAAATCCAGGCAAATGTTGATCTTAAAATAGAACAGTTAAAAGCACATACGCCTGACACATTTCATCCCCACAAAACACAAAAATTCATATAGAACAGAGCAAAAAAACATTAAGAATGTGTAAAATTAAAGTAGAAGAATATTTGGATGCACTGTTACATGCAAGGGAAGTGTCCAATTAGCAAAACGCACATGTGTGGCGATAGATTTCAAAACACAAATGACCATGGCTTATCACATACTAGTAAATGAAGGAAGAATGCAGAAGCATCTAAATAATTAAAATTTGAAAGACTGACCTCACTGTAAGCAGCAGGTGGACTTAAAATACTGTCCTCTTGTAAGCCTTCCATCTAAGTAATTAAAATGGGCACTTAATACATTGTCTAGATAATCACCCAATTTCAATGCAGCAAATACATTTGATATGAACAGTTTAATACAGCTTGGCGCAAATTGGCCAACTTGCTAAAGAAGCAGTACTTACTACAAACAATCAATTTTAACTTTGTGCGAAGTTTGCGGCAAACATTAAAGCCAATTCAGCAGTAGGTGAAACACAATATTATTTCAATTAACTTTCAGCGCTTATTGAAACTTGAAAACAAGAAGTTATTTAGGTTTCAGATAAATAGGATATAAAATAAAAGCACGCACACACACACACTGACATCGCAGGCCAACAACCAGCAAGACTATTCGTCAGAAAGCAAGCCATTTTGTGCTTTAGTTATCTCTTAGAAAGGTTTATGCATATGCCAAAGTGGAGATGACAAAAGTCTAGGGGTGCAGAATTCATTAGTACAAGCTCCTTGAAATGCATTGCTAGGTGGCAACGGCTGACCGCCTAAAATGAATTCAAGTTTATGCACCAGGTAAAACATTCTACCAGAGGGCATGGTTTAAGCAAACCGGATGCAAGTTAGGGGTGATCTCAGAAAGGAACCGTATGGGGCTTCAAATTGACGTCACTCCAGCAGCTACGCTGTGCAATCATGGCATATCAAATTTTGGACTACTATTTTAAAACAATGAAAAGGATCATCTGTGATTTAAACAGGGCATGGTATTTAAAAAGCCATTGGCCACCTCCAAGGGATCCCATGCAGCATACTGGAAAATGTTTGCCATTTGAGGTACTGGACATAGTCACAGGTAGAGTGACAAATCAAACAAAATCAGCTGGTTATTACTTGGGGAACTTGCAAAACTCAAATCACTTATGTTGAATTAAAAGGAATCGGTTAAAGGAGCAACGTGGGAGCTGAAGATTCCGAATGATTTTTGTAGGTGTGAGCATCAGGGCTCTCACCAGCTTTGAATAAATGAGTGCAGATCAGGTATCGTGACATGCACATGCTTGTTCCAGGTTTCACCAAGTACACCAGGGGTAGGCAACCTTGACACTCCAGTTGTGTTGAAGTTACAAATCATCATGCCTTTGCCTCTAGGAGTCATGCCTGTGGCTGTCAATGCCTCATGGGACAGCTCATAGTTCCACAACAGCTGGAGTGCCAAGGTTGCCTACCCCCGAGTTATTTGAAACTCCGTTGTTCCTCTCCACGGAAATCTTTAGTAAAAGACTTATGGGATCTTAAGAGAAACCAGAGTAGACAAACAAGGATAGACAAGACAGCTCAGTTTTCTTGCATCTTCTAAAATAATTCAGAAATCACAGCTCCCATATTTCTATCCTTGACAGGTTCCCTTTAAAGATCTGCCATCAGTACACAATTAGTGGACATTGATCTAATTTTTCAGCCAGCTTTAAGTTAGAATACGGATGTGGCGTGGTATATCCGCTTGGTTGAAGTTGTGTGTACACCATCATGAAAAGTCTGCAGTTACACAAAAGCAATACATTAACAAGACACACAAACTGAAATCTGATGCACTCACCTGCAAAGCCCTTTGTTCACGACTTAGTTGGGTTGAGTCTGCGTACAATTCAGTAGTCAGGCATTTAAACCGATCCCCCACGTAGCCGGCGGAGTTTGCAATCCTTTTAGTTAATTTTGAGGACTTTGTCGTTTTCACAAGTTTCCCATTTATAGTTTCAAATTCATCACAAGTATCTTTGCCGAGTCTTTCAGCCATTTCAGAATCTAAATGGCCATTTGTCAAAAACTGCTGCAGTTTTTCCTGTGGGTGGCCATAAAATCCAGCCGGCGAATCTCGATTTTGACTAGGAACCATGAAGCGAGCACAAGGCTCAGCTGCAGTGCAATCCATGCTTTGGTGTCCTGAAAGGTTCTCCTGTCTATAAGGAAAAACGGGGGAGCTCTGAGATGGTCTGGGGACATGAAAAGATTCATGAAAGTCACTTTTCCTTGAAATTTCCTCCCTAACTATTTCATCTCCAAGTGTCACCATATCCCGCTGTTGTGAGACCTGCTCTGATTTCTGATGATCGTTCATTACAGGTTTTTCAGGCCCATAACCATTGACCGTGAAATGATTGTCAGCCTTTGTGTCTTTTTCCCCACCATTAGAACACAACATGTCTGTCTTTGAAGCATGCTTTCCGGATATCGCAGATGGCTGGTGGGATTTCACCGTCTTTTCTACTGTAACCTCAAAATGTTGCTTTGGAGTCGAGTCAGATATATCCAACAATCTGCTACGGCTAACGGGTTCCTCGTATCGAGGTCTCTCGTGTGACCTTGACCTCCTCTCAGCCTTGTCATCTTTGCTTATTTCCATAGCATGAGGTGGTAGCAGAATTGGATGGACCATGCCCAAGGTATCTTGGTAGGTCATATAATCCCTGGTTGTTGGTATGCTGTAGGGAATTCCTGGCTTTGGTGCCATTGGACCGGGGAAAAGGCTTCCATTTGGCAACAAGACAGGGTGGGGATACACAGGAGCTTTGCCATGTAAGTGTAAATGAGATAAAGCAAGACTCTCAGAAACTTGGTATGGGATAAAACTGCTTGGATAGGCCAAAGGGGTGGAGCAGAAGGGTTCATTCTGAGCCAAGAACATAGGAGCAGGAGGTAAACCACTTTCACTCACTTTTAAGGTTGACTCTAAGACAGAAGTCTTTGGTGCCTTGCTGCTCCTACTAGGTGTACTTGCAGACTGCACCTGTTGTGTGACAGCCTTGCTGTTCTCTGCAGGGCTTTTTATTTCCCCGTTGGCATTTGGTGCAGGTGAAGCAGATGCCGGACGGCCTGCACTAGACACACAACTGGCAGTGCTACTGATTACTCCTTCAGAGTTGCCCATACGAGGACATGAGGAACTTCTTTGCTGTGGCATCACCCTTTCCAAAGCTTTGTTTTTTAGTGGCATCATCATGCCATTCATATCTTCTGTGCCAGTCATGCCAGGTACTACCCATGACGATGAAGCAGTGCTAATAATTTCAGGTCGGTATACAGAGCTGCCATTCCCAGACGGTGAATGGGCAGCTTTCTGAATGTCCCTGGTGTTCATTCCCAGATTAGTTCCAGAATGCCCAGAAAGCAACATGGCAGACATCTCCACATCACCAAGCTTTGAAGACAAATCAAGTGGCTTCTCCGCTCCATCTTTGTGAGGTGGCGTCTGCTTTTCCACCAAGCAAGGAGACCTGCTTTCTTTTCTTTCCTTTAAATGCTTTTTAGAGGGTGCTGTTGTCTGCACAGTGTCACTTTCAACACCCTTATTGGTTTTCGTGCTAGATGGCCTTAAAGGTGTAAGCTCACTGATCACACTATTGTGGGATTTGGTGTGAACAACAGAAGTAGGAGGGGTTGAGATTTTGCCATAGGACGTTTGAAAATCTGAATAGCTGTCCCCAACAGGTTGACCCTGCTGGTGATGTCTTGGAGATGGTCTCTGAGAAGGTGCTAGCAACAGTGAGGCTTCTGGAGAGATGCTGTTTGCTACAGACTTTGAACAGGGAACCCTAGGTTGCTTATTGGTTTGGATGTGTGGATATGCATGTGGATCAATAGTGGACCCTGTGCCAACTCCCATTTTCCAGGGTAAATTCTTTTCAAGACAGTGAACAGTAGTGGGCATTGCAGGAGCTGCTGATGGTGCAGGAATCCTCATGGGTGGTGCCAAAGTTGAAGGCATGTGGGGACTAACATAATGGGAAGGTGGAAGGTATACAAAGCGCTCACCGCTTGTACAGACAGGCGAGTAGGTCAAATGCTGCGGCAAACTGTAAGCAGACTGCTGAGGTAGAAATGCTTTATACATATTTAAAGAATACTTATTTGGTGAATCGATGAAAGGGTACATAGCTGGAGTAGTATTGTCCATATAAGGGTGCATCCATGGAATCCGTAAGTAATTAGCACCATTCACACCTAGTGGACTCTGCTTGTCATTTGATGTTCTGTCCAAAACGAGTGACTCACTGGTAGGGACAGATGTCTTCTGCAGTCCTGGTGGGGTTTTAAACAAGGAATTAAAGCCATTTGGCTGTTTTCCAGTTATAGAAGAGTTCTCCATTGTATCAGCGCCATTTGGCTTAAACTGAAGATCAGGATTTCGGTCAGGTGCATATCCAAGGCCTGGAATTTGGTTGGAAGGTTCTCGGACTTTATCGGAGCCAAGACCACATAAACTAGAATAGATCATGCCACCTGGTACCCGCAAACTATCCTGCATAAGTCCATTTCGGTCCATGCCAAGAGTTGTTAAGCCATCCATTCTGTGTACAGCTGCGGCATCCACCTTCATAACAAAACGAGATAAACAAGAAAAAGAGAATCAAATATGTAAAAAGGATACCAACCACTGTTATAATAAATTGGAGATTTGACCTGAACCTAAACCTAAGCATTAGATAAACTTAAAACCATTTCAAGAGAATGGATGGCCATAGTCAATTGGACTAAATTCATTTTAAGGGTTACAGGGCATAGAAACTTTCTACACTACTACAATAAGGAACCCACTATTTTGTGAAGAACGCCCTACAACTCTAAAGGTGCCCATACACTGCACGATTCTCGTACGAGAATCGCGGGAAATCCCGCGATCGTACGAGAATCGTGCAGTGTATGGAAGGCGTGCGACCGTTTCTACTGTACGGTCGCACGTCTTCCATCGAACCAGCATGTTTGAAAACCCGCCGGGAATCGTACGATTCTCGGCGAGTTGATGGCCTGCTGGTTCGTCGACTGCCGAACGGGCCAGTGTGCGCACGCGCACACTGCCCGTTTGCAGTCAGCGTATGCCCGCCCCTCATTACAGTCATCGCAAGCCCGCCCCTCAGGGGGCGTGGCTTGCGATGATCGAGAGTGCGATCTGCCCGTCCAAGATGGGCAGAGCGTACGTTTTTTTAATCCCTTTACAACCATTGCAAGACTAAGGTCTTGCGATGGTTGTACAGTGTATGGCCACCTTAATAGAGATCAATTTGCCTGTAAAACAGAACTGATAGTGTCACAACCTGCCATCAGAGTAGATGTACGCCCTGACATTAGTGTCAACCTGTTTTACCTATTAAGTAAGGCCCTATGGTTGAGTGTGACATCATGTAACCTTGATCAAGGATGCAAAAGAGAAAAATGACCTGAAAACATAATGTCTCTCTAACTGCAGACTCAATTAAATATATGGATGATAATGCCATGTCCATACAGAATGGAAAAACTACTTACAAGAGATCAGAGTGCACTAGAGAGCAAGTCATAATTATGTAGCCTTTGTGACATTTCCGCCTGGAACTAAAACTCCGAGCTGCATATGCAGCAGCCTATTCATGTTCGGAGAAAACAAATATACCTTTAACAAATTGACTAGTCCAGGAGTAGGCAACCTCAGCACTTCAGCTGTTGTGGAACTACAGATCCCATGAGGCACTGCAAGACTGACAGTCCCAGGCATGACTCCTAAGTCCCTTATCCCCTGGATTAGTCATTATTCCAAATGCAGAGGTTCAGACATGCAAGAATACAAAATGATAAAGCAACATCTGGAATAGAGACTAGTAATCACTAAATGCATCATTATCTTCTTCTATTCTAGAACTACACAAAAGGTAGATGTCTAAGATCAAACCACTAATTAGATTCTGCACATTGATGAAAGGGAATTCTAGGAGTAGATTAGCAACTTTGGCCTCGTTGTTGGAAAGAATTGAAGTTTTAGGCTACTGCACAATAGCTTTAACCTGCAGGCAACAACAACCGTGACTTTTTG